TATTTTACGAGTAAGTGTAGAAAATATTCTAAAATGAGTATTGAATTAAAACTTTAACAATACAATAAATGGAACAGATTTTTGCCACCATTTGGATGGTTGCCAGATGCCTTACGGAGAGCCTCTTCTGCAAATGTATAAGAATTTCATAAATTGTCTTCCTGAAAAAGGAGGTCACTCAGTTATTGCATATTTAAAGAATACGTCTAGCTCCATGATACGTCAGGCTGCTAGGACTTTTCCAAAATTTTGAGAGGAGCCACGTCCCCCGTAGCACATGATTTTAGTTATTACTAATTATTCCTAAGTTCTATGCAAACGATATTCTAAAACCTCACGTATGAGACGAAGAAGAATAGGAAAGCCTGATGCAGCACATCAAAGGAACTCTGCACCTCCTTCTGTGTCATTTGAGACCAATGTAGAGCATCAAACGCAATCTAGATTAACACACTGCCAACCTAGAGTATATTCCACTGTTAATATCTAACTACGCAGCACTCGTGCGTTCGTAATCCTTATTTAAGGGAAAAGATGACGTCATGCGACAAGGATTCATCTCTAAAACTTTAGAACAGACGAATACTATTAAAACATTGCGTGCGACATATTGTGTGAAAAATAATGTGAGTAAAATGTTGCGGAAAGCACGTGATCAATTCATACTGTTAAAGAAGTTGATTTGAACAATCTATTGAACACTCGCTTGCCTTTTTCAGGGTTGAACAGTTGCCTGCTAGGACTAAATCTTGGCACATTTACTCTCGGGGCAGCGCCACCCTAAGCTGACAGCTGTGCTAAGATGCCACACGCATTAAAATACCTTTTAAGGCGCGGCTGGTCTTACCTTGAAAGGTATTTTACCTTCTGCCACCAATTTTCCAACTTTTCTCCACTTGACTGCCCGTCAACAAGTGGGCGAGTTTGTGGGTGGGCGCGACTGTCGACTAATGCCGTGGCAAATTCTTACACGTGTGGTTGAATTGTGTTCGAAGATAATAAAATGTCATTGGTATCCAACGCGCGTCTATACAACACTGAACAACGGAAGAGACGAAACACAGCTGGCTGACCGGTTCCTTGCAATAGTTATGGAGAGGCATAGAACGTAATCAAAACTTCAGCCCACGTACAACGATAGACGTTTTTACACACGTTCCAGCTATATTGATTGATCAGTGATTCCGGATTCGTCAACGGCTAAGGTCATATCTTCCGTAAGAGTAGTGCATGTGGTATCGCAATAGGTGTCGGTTATCCTCCCCCGCTGGCTGGCAAAATACGGCGCCGATCTACGTCGCTTTGCGAGAAGTTTTCCCCAGTAGGGTATTTCTCCTCAGTGTGGAACCGCCCCAGCGGGGGCAAGCTCGCAGCTCTCGATTCGTTTCCCGACTGTGTGGGAGTATACGTTTGTGTAACTAAGAGGGTGAAGATGGGACAAGGAAGAGGAGGGAAAGATTGCGCGCGGTTCGTGGCTCCTTTGTCTGGGTACTGCTCCGGCATTCACCCGTTGTTGATCGGAGAGACCACGGAAAATTTCCGACTGGAGAAGCCGGCCGCCAGAATTATTCTCCAGGCAACGTCTGAATTCGACCTAGTAGTTGACAAGCTAGGGTCATCCCTGTCAGAGGCTCTGCAGTGACATCAGTTGACGCTCTTAGCCACCTTTGCAGGTACGTTTCAGCTAGAAGTGCCGTGGACGCCTTTGTCACCAAACGGCACCACTTTCACGGCAACCTGCCCATCTCGTCGGCCTCGCCGGCGCAGCCCGTGCAGGTTCTGCGCGCACCAGGGTCGCGTCGCGTCATCGCCCCAGGCGGCTCGTCGCGTCTCGCGTTAGGTAACGGCCCGCTGGGTCGAATCCTCACTCCCAGCACCCGCAGGCGCCGCTGCGGCGGAGCCGAAGGACTTTCTTCGCGCACTAGACGGAGCAGACGCCGCGCCGTCTCCGTTTCGAGGAGCTGTCGCACGGAAGGATTTTTCTCGTCGAGGGCGCCGCGCCGTGCCGCGCTCTGCCGCTGGACGGGCGCGCGGTGTTGCGTAAGAGTGCGGCATGCGCTCAAGACTAATCCCGCGTCAAAGAACTCGTGGACGACTCGTGGACGTGTTGGGGGGCCGATGTGGCAGAACCGGAACCGCTAGAAGTGCGTAATACAATACTTGCATTCGATTCAGCGTAATTCCATGACTTCCTTCGTCAAACGTACTGCTTGTTATTCGTTTCATTCTTGTTATTGTTTATGTTGTTAAGTACACACTCTCACAACATACAAAGAGGATCGTACACAATATTTCTTCTAGGCGTGTTTTATTCGTTTGAAAATTTTAGAATTTTATTAATAGGAAGGAAATTTGATATATTTGTTTTCTCCTGTTTCAAGTTAAAAAGATATACATTGCTTCAACAAAGATTTTAGTTGTGCAGCTTTTTTAAAACATACCTAGCATGTTTTAGTGTTCGTTCGCTAAGCAATTATGTGTTTCTAACTAGTTCTGTAACATAGATTTCTATAGCTAAAAATATAATAGATTTATGTTGACATCTTCGACTCATCCGGTTTCATTACCTACACTATTTAGCAGTTTTGGATCGGATTAATCCTACGTTTGTCAGTTGGCGGTATTCCCAGGCCTTGGCTCTCATTTTATGTATTATCCACGCCTGGGAGTAAGGGAGGGAGGGAATGTGGCGTGCGTAGCGTATTCCCGTACCGTACCTATCTTGACCTACCTGATCTTTTTCTTTCGTCACACCTCCATAGAAACTGAAACGATTCCTATTAGAAAGCTACATATTCACTTTTGCCTCAGCCGGAAATCGAAACTAGGATCATCTCATAGAACGTTCTCTATGAGCCTCCCGAGAGGAATGCTATTTTTTTAATAAAAAAAATATTTGGCACAATAATGAATCACGTAAAAATAATGTAAAGAGCCTACGTAACTTTAAGAAGCTTACATGCCACACAACACCTTTCATGGACACACCAGACATTCTTGCTAAGAAAAAGGCTTTCCAAACCATTGAAAGAGCATTAGCGACGCGGGTGTTTTCAAGGATTCGCTTTTTCAAAACGTCATTGGCATTAAGAACAACGACATTGGAAACAACGTAGCAATTCGGAACAGTGTATTTAGAGAGAGCGGCGGCTTAGTGACAATACATCTCCAGGGGGCGTGTGGCATGCTGACTATACAGATAGGCTCCCCAACCTTTCCAACTTCTCTTCTTCTCGCGTTCCAAGTAAATGGCTCGAGTTTGTCAGTGTTATCAACCGCTCGTTACAACTTTCTTCCAACCGAAAACGGAAGCTACAGATGTTCACTCGCTTTCGTATTTTGCAACTGATTCGCCGGAAGTATGTTATGAAAATGTCACGTCGTTCAGTGCACGCACTATTATTTTGTTGCATCTTTTTTGCCAATACTCAAAGCGTGATATGTAGATTCGCAAATCGTTAGCCACGAAGAAACAAACACGATTTTTAACTTTCTCTCTCGACTTTCAGAGCTGAGGGGTTAGTCCAGGTCAAGGCTTACTTACGCGAACGGGTAGAGGCGATGCGTTAAACAGAGACATTCGCCTTGTGGTAATTTGCAAGACATGCGTCAGTCTTCCATTTGTCATAAATCTATCACTTTTGAAGTATGAAACATCAATTTTTTTTTTTAGAAGTACTGGATGGTACTTTGTGTAGTTCAAGCGCAATTCTTAGAACAGTGAGTACAATAAGCTTTGAATTTTCGTAATATACAGCTGAACCAAATTTACATTATACTAAGGATAATAAAATATAGATGGTCAAGTCATTTTCAGAAGGTTTATAATCAATTTAATGTCATGTCATCCGTCTTCACATGACTGTGCACGAATAGCAATTCTCTAACTTTCGACTAATAATATTCGCTCTTCCTCCTTTCTCTAGAAGACAGAAGACTTAACCATCATGAGATAAATTACACTTGCAAAAAAATACAGTGACCCTATCCACATTTCCTAGGCCAGACGCAGTCACATTCTATCGGGGACTCACGGACTACTTCATGCAGAGTTGTGAGAAGATTAGGTTCTTATAGGGGTGCCCTCACGGTTCGTCCAACGTGATCCGCTTGTCTCAAACTGTTGTTTGAGGCTTTCAGGCAAAGGATATTTCTGTTGTGTATTAATAATTACTAGAAGCAAAGATGTAAGGAAATTAATGCTTGTAGTTAACAAAAACTAGTTTTTTCTGCTTTTGTGTCCATTTTTGATAAAATTTATTTCCGCTTGATCTTAGAAAGCGAGCATAGAATATACCGAACGATATGAAAATGTGCAATTTTTTTGCGGCGTGGTGGACCGCTCGCAGTGGAAAAATAGGAGGAGAGGAGGGCAGGGGTGAAGCGAGGAAGTATCCCCTATGATACACCAAGCACTTTCCTGTCCACGATGTCCTTCCAACAGCTCGCTAGATAGACATGTAATAAATCAATCCCAGATTCAGTGCAATTCTGCAACAAAACTACAAAAATTCCAAGGTCTCTAACACGGAGATACCTGAGTGCTTACGTGAACATTCATTTTGCGCACGACAAGGCCACAAGAAGAGTAAAGAAAGAAATTTCACATGTGTTGTAATCCTTTCTCTAGTAACCTTTCTCAGTGTAAAGCGTGTAGAAGAGTATGCTTTTAATGTTAGCATTTAGTTCAAAATAGTACTAGTTGAGTACAAAATAGTACTAGTACAACGCCTGAACCATAAAAATGCTCGAATCCCTTATTGACTTAAGTGAATTTCTATTTCCTTAGCCATTTTATGAACACGTTGTCAGAAAGTTCTATAACCATTTGCTCCCTTTCTCTACAACCTCTAGTGAACAAATTCCACATGTACATTTTTATAACAAAACATATTTGACAAACACAGGCTCATCGGTGGACGACAATCGTTTCGGATGACGTAAGCCTATGCCGTGTCTGTATCTGCGGAAGATCTGAAGTTCCGTTTATTTGTTCGCAGCCGCAACCGTACAACTTCAAGTACGACGTGCAAGACGCGACGAGCGGACAGGACTTCGGCCACCAGGAGAGCGGCGACGGCGCGGGCAACGTAGACGGCAAGTACTACGTGCTGCTTCCCGACGGCCGCAAGCAGATCGTGACGTACCACGCGGACGCCAACGGTTACGTCGCCAACGTGCAGTACGAGGGCGAAGCCCAGTTTCCGTCCGCGGGCCCCGGAGGTCCGGGTGGTCCGGGCGGGCGTCCCGGTGGGTTCGGACCGGGCGGTCCCAGTGGTCCCGGCGGTCCGGGCGGTCCTAGCGGTCCCGGTGGTCCTGGCGGTCCCGGCGGTCCCGGCGGTTACCCTGGCCAACGCCCCTCCAACAGCTACGGCCCTCCAGGCAGACCTGGCGGCGCGTTCGCAGACCAGCCGTCAGGTGGCTTCCCGGGTGGTGCGCCCGGAGGCAGCGGCCCCGCCAACGAGTACTTGCCGCCCCGCTTCAGGAAGTGAGCGCCCCGACGACACACGCAGCGACACGGAGACGGCCCACGACGCTCGGCGCGCTAGCCGGCACTTACGGGTCTCATGCTCTTCTCTATGATTACAGATTACATTGCGCATTGTGATTGTGATCTCCGTACGCATGATGAGTATTTTCCTATGGAAAGTTTTTTTTTGTTTGTTTTGGAGCGAGGAGAAAATGATTTTTTAAATGAGAAAATGTGTGACTGTATTTTCTTAAATCGATTATGTATTACAATTTTGCTAATAAAATATAACTCAAAATAGTTTAAAAAAATATGTTTCTTAATTTATCCATCACAACCCCTATTCATGGCCAACGACGCTAAAAGAAATAAATTCCCCAAATATTATCTGAGCTCAAAACACTTTATTTCTAATTTTAATTTGATTTGTTCGAAATGCAATGTTTTAATATTAAAACAGACTGAAGGATTCTTCAGCATTAACACGATTTTATAAGTGAACATTTTTGTTGAGTCACTGAGAAGCCATTTTATGAACTATCATGTTTCTAATATCCACTTTCCGTTCAAGCCATATACAGACGATGAGTGAATGTTCACCGCAAACGAAACCCCACCTACACCCATTTTGTTTAAAAAAACACAGGTTTACGATATTTATAAATATTTGCTCGTGTAATAGCCAATTCCGTAACCGCAAAATATACTCTTCCTTCGCAACCTTGATCTTCCAGCATTTACCATGAAAATGGAAGCTAATCGTCGAACTAGGAGGTGGCTCTTGACCCTGAAGATCAACACGTCGATCCCTTTCCTTCGCCGCACGCGAGCGGCAGAAACTCTATCACGTCTTTCACAGACGACGCTGTTTCTGTTACGTAACGGTTTCTCGTCTGGAAGCGTCCCAGGTAAAACAATGTACGAGTATCGACCAATCGCTAGGTCACGAAGGAGCAAGCTTCAATGCACCAATCGATTCCATCGTCGACACACGACGTTCATCGACCGGAGGAGAGAGTGCCTGGCGATTAGCATACGTTACACCCAGAGCAAGTTTCCTCCTTACGTAACTTCGTTTGTCGGAGAAAGCACTTCATCAGCAGGGAGCTCTAAATTTCTGACGGCGAACTCATCTTCGTACTTCGTTCTTCAAGTCGTATTTGTACTAAACGTAAAAGCTAGGGCGAAAGAGATGTTCAATCAAGCACAAAGAGTAACCTCGAACTGAGGTAATATGCTGGTGAATGCGTCTTTAGGAAGAATAACCTCGTTGCTGAGAGGAGGAAACATAACAGTGAAAGCGACGAGGGTCGGTGACTTATCAAAACTGAATCTCTCTCTCCCTGCGGCGTCGTTGAAGATGATTTATTAGATGCATCTGCGTGTAAAGGGATCACGGACAGGTGGGGTGCAGTGGCGAACAAGTAACTGAGAAAGCTCATCCAAGATGCTCGGGAGATGAATGCAGAAGAGCAGGCATTATCTGACCAAGACCTCTCCGCATGAATACCAAAAAGCTGGTGTAACCACGACAAGCACCTGAGCATCATCTGACACGATCAACAGCATCGCAACATATGAATATTTGAACACGAATATATAGTTTTTTGGATAATATAGTGGTTCACAGAATAAAAAATTAAAATGAGTACGTGAGAAATATTTGATAACTGAAAACTATTGGAATGGAATTTAGTATTGATATTTTAGCATGAACTATATTATTTTTAATCTAAGGATAAAGATAAATGTTTCACTTTGTACATAGGTGGAAATATCAATGACATCATCATAAGCAACATCCTCAAAAGCGTCATGAAGTGGTGTGCCTATTTAATGGTTTCCCCTTAATCTTTCTCCATTGTGTCCAGTCTTCTACTTTCCTGTTAATACTTTCGTATCAACCTTCCCTGCTTAAAGTTGGCTGGCATTTAGTAATTTCGTTAGTTTTACACTCATTCCATCTTCTAGATCATTAGTTGTGGATTATCAAAACAAAATTGTTCGCTTATAAGGAAATCGCTGTAACTTTAACTTAACTTTAACGCTTTTGCATTAATGGCAAAAGTAATTTTACAGAGTGTTAATATTTTGAAAGGTTTCTTAACAATTAGCTTCACTTAATACCAAATAGATGTTTTGAAAAATGTTTAATTGAATTTGAATAATTTAATTATGATGTGTATGTATGTGATGTTTTGTCTCGCCACTCTGGACCAGAGTCCGTTTGATAAAAAAATAATTAAGTGGAAATCGTATGCAAACAAAGTAGTTATACGAAATAGTAGTTATTTTATTATCTTTTCACATTATTATGCAAAGTATCTTCAGACAGGTCTCATGGTCCGAACGAACACAATCTACAGTTGATGAATTTTTAACATCCATCTATTCACATTCAAATATATTTTTAATCCACATTTTTATTTACATCCAGTGTTTTACGAATTATTTCACCAGATTTACAACATTCTGTATATTTTCTTTTCTATGTCTATTCATTGTCCTTGATCAACTTCTGGCAATTGAATATTTAAGCGCTTGTATTTTCAAGTAAATTTTCCCATTTTCATTGAGACTCTCAAATCTAAAATTTTCGATGCATATTACTAACCAGTTATTCATATAAACCCCATTTATTTTGTTTTCCTCTACATTAAATTTAATGTATTCGCATATTATTATTCCTTCTCCTACTGGAACCTTCTCAGTAAATTAAGCAGATCCAGAATATGTGTCCATTTTCCTAAGAATGGCTTGTTTTGTTTGCTACTTTTATATGACAGTTAATGATTTTCAACTGTTTTTCATCAGAGATCGACGTGAATAACCCTTTTGATTCAAAAATTTGATTGTGCCCTGTTGTTTTTAACCTCTACTATTACATCTATGCACAGAAACATTTTTCCGAAATTGTGACTAATCAAGCAGACAGAAAACATTTTTTCAAAATATTCTCGAATTAGGCACCAATTTAAATTTTTTTCATCACAAGTTTCACAAGCCCAGGTCAATGTGATTGTGGGCGAGTTTTACCTAGGCGAAGAACTGCAAGTACTAAACAAGCAATACATGACCTCACAGTCTCATCAATCAAGGGGGCACGGGAAACCGGTTACATCACGAACGACCCCCCCCCTCTACCGCCTCCGCCTCCTTTCCTCGCAGTTTACGTCAGGTTGCACTAGTTCCGGCACGAGAATCGTGCACCTGGAACAGGGATGCTCAAACAAGACTCGTAGGGGTGTAGTCAACCCGTCGAGAACTATTATGCTGTTCTGTGAATGAATTAGTACGTGGACATCTTATTAGAATATATAGTATAAAATAACAAATTTTGAAACGTCTTCAGAACACTAATAACAATAATAAAAATACAATTATATTTTGGAAATGATAATATTATTACCTTAGTTTAACTTCGAACTTTTGACGGGCTTTGGACACAATAATCAGATACTTAAAGTTTCAGAATGTATTTAACTATGCAAGTTTTGCTTGCCGATCGTCTAAGTGTACTCATCTGTATAATTAATTCGTTGAGAAAATTCTAAGATAAGCAATAAATATATTCTTTGTGAATGAAATCCATAGTTATCAACACTTATATCATACCTGTTGCGTTTCGTGTCAGGCTAAAGGAGAAACGAGCTATTGGGTACTTCAAAGTAAATTGCATGATACTTTTCCATCAACAACGTTGAAAAACATGAGCCCACCGAATCGAGAAATTAACATAATCTAAGATAGTTCATTACTTCGTATACGATAGCCTATTTGTCTGCGTGTCTGGGAAAATCCGTGATCTTCCAAATTTGAAGCGAGCTGTTGCAACTTAATCTACGGTTACCTGATCTCAAAAACAATGGGCGCCCCGGTGGACAGCACGAAGTGGCGATTGCGGCAGCGAAGGCAGCGAAGCAGGAAGAAGGCCGTGGGGAGGGGGAGGAGTGAAAGAAGAGCACGCGAAGAAACCGGCGTGGCGACCTTGGGGTACACCGGTAATAGGAGCAGCGGCACCGCTTGTGGTGGCGGGAATGGAGACTAGCTACTACGGGAATGGAGACCAGGTAGAGGCGACAGTGACTGCCGTGGAAGAGTCTCGGGGACGGCAAATGCGATCTTCCCTTAAGTGGAATCAAGAAGAAATCTATCGTAATGAATACAATCTGCTGCAATGCTAATTTTATTGCAAGTTGATCTTGATCTCAATAAAACAGACTGTGAGTTTTTATAACAATTTCTTGCATGTTACATAATTAACGTTTCGACCCTATATGGAGTGTTTTTCAAAAAACAACCCAGTGTCCAGGTTAGTTGACATCATAAATAATAGTAAGCATTTTGATAAAAAATTGTCAATAACGTAAGAAATCAATGTTGTCAACTTCATCCGAGCATCTGGTACGACAAAACGACCTTTAAAAAAAATTGAAACTCAACACAATACCAATACTTCAGTTATCATTGACGTTAGCAGTGATAACGCCCATCTACCTGTGGACTGTTACGGTGGGCGTTGTCAGAAGTTACAATTACAACAGGGTTGATAAGAGCATAAGGTAACTACTGTGTCCGAGGAAAAGAAGATATTGAAATGACTTAACACTATAATTTCATCTTCACCTCTATTGGACGTTACAAAAAAACTTTAACCTTTCGGTTATCCGCTGACGCTCTCTGTCCTCAGTTAATATCCCTGCCGGTTTACAGCCTTGAGTTCCTTGACTCTAGCCTACTCATTGTAACTCCATTGTTTTCAAAACATCGATGTTTATTATAGAAAAATCGATGATTTTAACATCAAAATATTAAATCCAATGTTTTTGTTTCATCGATGTTTTGTGCTAAATGTTTTTACTTTCTAGGTGTTTGTGAATGAGAAATTCACATAAGCACAATTTCGTAAAAGTTAAACCATGAAATAACTAAATAGTACTGTCGGTTTGTGTAAAGCAATCGAACGCTGTTTCTATTTCCTTCGTCAAGCAGACTATGTCTTCCTCGAGGAATTGCCCCGAT